ATTACCCATTCAAATTCCGACTGAAATTCCTAAATCTCACAAACTACCGTGCCGGAGGCACGGGTTATTCGCTAGTACTATATATTATAATAATGTCATAGCAAAGCTATTTTTAATAAAGACAGATTTATCGTAAATCAAAACTTTAAAATTTTGTCATGTTTAAGTACAGTACATAATGACGAGAATAGATAAAAATAATGCGTGAAATTTAAACTCTATATAAGATTTTTTTAATAAAAATATCTAAATCTCGAATAAATAAATATCAGTATACGTTATTTTTTATTTACATTTTTTTGTGAAAAACGCTAAAATTTCTAATTTCCTGATATTTTTAGCACAACGGGCGAAAAAGAAAATGGGAAGGAGAACAAAGAAAGTACGAAAACGCCTTGTGAAACGTAAACGCCAAAAGCTTGATAAAATTTTTGATTGTATTCTTTGTTATGAAGAGAAATGCGTTGAGGTCAAAATGTAAATGTGTTCTTATGCATGAAAACTGATATATCAGAAATTTCTTTTAATAAATCAAAATACTATTATTTGGTTTATTTAGGCAGATAATTGAAGGGAAAGGCGCTGGATATTTAAGATGCAACCACTGCGAAGCAAGGTTTGAATCAGATATCTACGGTGACTATTTTCTTCAAACTTAGCTTGAAAATTATTTTCAATTCTTTGATAATTTATCTTTTAAATTATTAGATTTTAGCGACAAAATAGATGTTTATTTTGATTGGGTCGACAAATTTGACGTTACTGGTAGATATCACTATTCGGATGACGAAGATAATTTAGATATCCAACAAAAATCAAAGTCGATAACCTCAAAAGCGAAAGGTAAAAGTCGTGCATCTAGTGATCTAAACACATGTGACGAATATTCTTATGAATATCCGCAGAATATATATGGCGATGAAATCGGTGAAGGATCTAATAGTCGTCGTAGATGATACTTTAATTCGCGTATGCTCGATTAATTTGGCTTTTAGTATATCTTGCACTTCGGAAAGTTAAAGGATGTGAGCAAAGATTGTAGAGATTTACAAATGGTTATTGAATATTTTTCTTATAGTTCTGTAGTTAGTGTAAATTTAAGTCATTTACTGTATATGGACAAATTGAACATATAAAGCTCTATATCGATATATGAATTTTGTCAATTTTTAAGAAATTTTTTAATTTTTAAATAAAAAGTCCATAAACGAATATTTATATCGAAAAATTTCAACATTAATAAATGTATATAGTCATATAAACCAAGGCTTATTATGCAAATAAAGGATCGTTAACTTTTATTTAATTACGGCTTTAAGATTTAACACTTTTAAGTTCATGATAAATCGGTCAGTTAAAAAAATTTTTTTTTTTGCCACTAGATGAGCGAAGATTCAAGAGCAACGCACAATGCATTCACTGTTAGATCTTTAAGTCATAAGCAAAATCACTTATCAATTTTAGATTTTTTATAGCTATTAAATTTTATCTATTATATTTTTATTCACACAAAATTTTTGTGAGAATGAATCTGCATGCCAAATTTATAAATAAATCAACACTTTAAATTTCAATTCTATATACATCTTGAACTTTTTTAAATTACGTATTACGTATGAGAAATATACCAACTATATATATATATATATATATATATATATATATATATAGTATATATCTGTTATACGTATCAGTATTTTGTATTAACAAAATCCTGTACACATACTGCATATTTATACACGCATCTGTATAGGAGTGCACGTGCGTACATCGAATTTTTTACCAGTTTGCCTTTTAAGTGTATAAAGATGCTATACAAATTTGCTATTTTCAAGAACCAATTTATAGTGCATGACTTATATTATGTTTCTAAAAGGACAATAGATATAAACATTTGTGAGCTATATTTATATATTGTAAATATTTACGAGACATTTCTGGTTATAATTGCCATATTATTACAATTATCCGGCAGGTTGTAAACATTGACGGAGAAAATTTCACATTATTTCCGCAAATTTTTATTAAAATCATGTGACAAATTCTTATTATTTTAAAATAAGATCTGCAAAGTAATATAAAATTCTTTCCGTAAGTGATACGTCATATCTGCCAGATTCGAACTTTGAGGA